GCCGTTACTAATTAAGTAACTGTAAATTAATGAATGCTTATGAATAGATAAGATAAGGTTATGTGCTATGTTTTAATGCGCTTGTAGCTGATAATAGGATGGTAGAAATGAGATAAAAATAGAAGTTGTTAGCAGTTAATTTACTGTAGGTTTATAAGTTGTGTTAATCTCTAAAAATTGAGCTGTATATGGACGAAGGTTAAGCGTCTTAACACCTGATAGCTTGTAGCTATCTAAGTCTGAGAATATCGACATGTATATTTAGTAATGGTATTATACTAATTAATGTAACTTGTAAAGCATGAATTCTCACTCGTTAATATTGGAATTCACTGTAGAAACCTATTTAAGCGCGTGTGTTTGTAGAATAAAGAAAGTAATTGCTCAAGAAACGGCAAGACTCATATCGTGAAGAATAGTGTAATAATTAGTCAGTTGTCTGTGGAGATCAGCCGAGAAATCGAGTTCTCAAATACTTCTCTCATAGAAACTGAAAGTACTGGGAGAAATAGCCCAAGTTTTAAGTAACTACACTAGAGTTCTTTACTTTCCTTTGCCACAAGTGAGGGTTGTGACAATGAATAAGAACATTGCAGGATATAAAGAACTACATAAAGTCATATCGACTCTGTTCTAATCATTGCTAATTGATCGGAGATGGTCCTTTATAAAACAGTTTTAATAAAACATAAAGACATCATTACTTAACTGTTGATACCCAAGAATAGATTCTACAGATATCATCACACCAACTATCGTTACTTACTCCATGTAATGTTAGTTTTTCTACAACCCGATAGATTCAAATCAGGAATATCAATCGTAATGTTCAGATAGTACCACCTATTGCTGTTTTATTTTATGAAATACTACATAAATCTATCATCTTTGATTCAAATTAGAATATTACGATGCCTAAAAACTTATTAATATAGGCTGCTTGATTTAATTTCGATCTCTAGTAGAACAAATAGTCGGGACCGAATTTTTATAAATATAAACAAATTCGGGAAAATAAAGTATTGAATCTGATTCTATTTTTCGTCGAAAGATAGTCTTAGTTATCAATAAATAATCCTTCATTTAAAAGCACAATTCATTTCAGTAAATATGATCATCACTCTTTATGAACTAGGATCTTTATATAGTAGTAAATTTTGATGTTGATTTCATAAAGTAGTTTATTTAGTTCTAATTATAAGCTGTTGAATTGCTAACGTAGTCCTTTTCTTAAAGTCTAGTAAAATTCTACGCTATACGACTTTATTAATTATATCAATAGACAAATATTTATTATTGTTGATTATTTGATGATGTATTAATTTTCAATTTTGATAAATTCAAATTTAGAGTACTATCAGATAAAGAATTAGACTGCAACTGCCAAGCTCAGCAATTTATCCAATGGGCTCGATCAAACTGTATTGAAGTTATAGCTACATGTTCTCGACCATATCATCTAAAAGGCAGTCCTGTCAGAATTTTGTATGATCAAGATCTCGGCTGTGCAGGTAAATAAGTTAAAATAGAGCTGTAATAGTTTTATCGAGAAATTTCATATTGCAGTTGTAACACATTTTGGGCTAGAAGTTGCAAAAAGCTTGGAGTCAATCTCTTGCCTTCGCATTAATTTATTATTACTATCGTGTGAGATATCAGCTATACCTTGCAGCCTTAAAATCATTCATGCATATAGGCTTACTGTAAGAACTATATGACTAGTAGACTTTTATATAAACCATGAAAATAAGATTATCTTCTAATATATTGCTTTATTCATGAAATTCTTAAGTCGCAATAAGACTTTTTTTACTTTATTTTACAATTAAGCAGAAACAAAGCAAGGAGAAAGTAGATCTCGAAGAAAAAGATCTCCAGACGACCTTTCATATGCCTCCTCAGGTATTCAAATTGATTAAGTTAATTTAACTAATAATAACACGGGCTATTTTGGCTTCCAATCTGATAGATAGATTTTACTTTTATACCTGATGAAAGCTATTTTACTTTTCAAGATGATAATCTTGATTGTAAATAGTGTAGATTATAACAACCAAAAAGGTATAAAATAAAATAATTTTCGACCACTTTTGTCGTTTATTTCTTTCCTATTTTAGCTAAGCCTAAGCCTACAATCGAGTGTAATTTTCAAGTTGATTTATGTGGTTGGAAACAGTTGCAGAATATTGACTACTACGATTATATTTATGGTACTTGGAAGTCATCTAACACTAGAAATACTAGCCAAGCCTATATTGCAGATCATACAACACGAACTGGTAAACTATGAGAAAGAA